AATTGTACCTCAAGTTACATCTACAGTACACTGCAATGTACCATGCAGGTGCACATGCCCTGTACATTGCACTGCCTTGCAAAAAAAAAAAAATGTGCAGAAACCAATATTTGTATAGTGAGGTAAGTGTGAAGGCAGCCCAGTCATAGGGAATACGCTGCCTAAGGCTGGCCATACACTTATTAATTCTTTTCATTCAACCCGCGGGCTGAACGAAAAAATTGACCCAATTCCTCCATCAACAGAAACAGCGTGTCAATCGAGGAATCCCGCTGTTTACATTGTATTCTGACAGGTGCCGCTGAATAGAAAACCCGATCAGAGTGGACAGCTCATTGGCTGCCGGCTCTGATCAATCAAAAAAGTTCCAGCCGCCTCCTTCGATCAGCTGATGGAGGAATGCTGGTTGAAAGGGAACCGACAGCCCCACACACTGTGCGAATTTCAGCCGGTGTATGGGCACCTTTAGGCAACGTGCCTTAATTCTCAAAATGATATGCATTGCATTATGGTGTGAATGGACCCCCTAAGGGCCTATTCACACATGCCAGTATACAGTGTAAGGGATCCCACAAGACTCATTCACACATACGTGTGTATTAGCATGCATATCGATGCATGTTTGTCAAAGCATCAGCATGTGTTGTGGTACCCTTGTCCTTGCCTTATCTACTGTGGTTTCTCCTGCACATTTAATGAAAAATGAAGAACTCACTGGCACTCCGAAGAGTCCCTTGCGTCAATCTTTCTTTTGTTGACATACTCAAGGTGGTCTCTCAATGCATGGCAACGTTTCGCAACTCTATCCAGTCCTTCATCAGGCAACCAAAGTGCTTGTGCTTTGAACTTAGGATTTGAAGTATATAGAGTTACTAAATCTGGGTCTGCTGTTCTGATAAATTCTCCATTGCAGAGGGAATTGTAAGCTCACTGGCTTTCCTGCGTGAACTTTGCACTCATTTCTCAGCCAAAGAAAGCTTGTTAATACCTCTTACCAACCATCAAAACACATTCTGATGCCCTTGACTTCTATTGTCTCCTAACATACTTAACCGCTGAAAAAATACATAGGCTGCCGATGCACCAAAATGTCCCAAAAATCAGATGCACCACAAAATTGCTAACACACCACCGTGCACTTTGGTGTGTAGCCATGTGTTGCCGTGTGCTACAATGCACATGTATTGAATGGCACCGCAACGCATCATTGTGTAAAATGTGCATTGTCGCGTGTTGCAGTAATGCATACATTCCCATAACCAGGGGCGTCCCTAGCATTTTTACTGCTTGAGGTTGTGATGATGGG